GGCGCGGATGGGACATGGTACGCAACGCCTGTTGGCTTGCTGCTGCATGCGGACTTGAGCCTTTAATTTGTGCGGGCTTGAGTCAGCAATTCCCTGTACTTTCAGACGGAAGCGGGCGAGCAGGCAGCGTCAATGTCGGCTGGTCGAGGGAGGAGAAGGTCGGCGAAGATCCGGCCTTTCCGTCCACCGTGGTGCAACTCGAATGGAGTCACGCCGATCGCCGGATGCACCGAAGTGTTGTAGGCGAACTCGATGTCGGGGAGGCGTTCAACCCAATCTTTCTGGTCCTGACAGATGAGCGTACGAAGCATCATTTGAGCGGTTTGATGTGCCCGCTCCGTCTGCCCGTCTGTCTGAGGATGTCGAGCCGAACTTGGTTTCATTGTTGTGTCGGACTCCTGCATGAGAGCAGTCCAAAACACCGACATGAAACGAGTGCCGCGGTCGCTTACAATGTCTTCTGGTACACCGTGGCCACAAATCCAACCAGTGTGCAGGAGGCGTGCCAGCTCGGGAGCCGTGGAGTAGTACTTGCAAGGGAGAAAACGCGCGTACTTACTCAATCGGTCCACAACCGTGAGGAGGCCGTCGTGCCCGAGCCGGTCGCGAGGAAACGGACTGGTGACGTCCATGGCAATGGAGAGACCGGGTTCCCGTGGGATAGGCATCGGGTGTAACTCGCCGTAGGGATTGCGGTTGCGGGGCTTGCTGCGTCGGCAAACTTCGCAAGAGTCGCGATACCGAGTGACATCGGTAATGAGGTCGGGCCATCGGAATCGCTGTCGAAGTCGTGCAATAGTGCGGTTGACTCCGAAATGGCCGGCGAGTCGTGAATCATGATAAGCGCCAAGGAGGCGAGTCCGAAGACGACGGTCGCGTGGGACACATAGTAAGTCCTTGCCTCTCGAGTGGAGGAGCAAGTACCCGTCGACAATGCGGTAATGGCTGGCCGACGGGTGATCCGAAGATAGCTGTGCATAGAGCGTGCCGAAGKCCGGATCAGACTGATATGCCCGGATGAAGTGTCGCTGAAGCTCCTCGTCGAATGCGAAGGCATGATGTGTCATAGCGCAAAGATCAGGTCTTCGCGAGAGTGCATCTGCTGCGCGATTGGAGAGGTCGGGGACATGTTTCAGTGTGAAGTCAAATTGGTCGATGAAGTAAATCCATCGTCCGATCGTGCTGCTCACCGTGTCCTGCATCTTATAGTAGGTCAATGGATTGTTGTCTGTGACCCATGTGAACCTACGATGCCCAAGAAGGAAGTGCCGCCAGCGCTTGAGAGCCATCACGAATGCGAGCAGCTCCTTCTTCCTTGCATCATCAAGCGAGTTGATGGGAGGCACTTTGTGGCTGAAATACTCCACAGGGTGCCAGTCGTCGCCGTCGTGCTGTTCCAAGACTGCCCCAATGCCATTATCCGGAAGCGTCCGTAGTCACTCGCGTCGGCAGGGTGGGGTCATAGATGCTAAGGACGGGTGCCATGAGCATAGCCGTCTTAAGTGCTTGGAATGACCGGCGTGCGTCGTCATCGAATACGAATGGCACCTGTGGCGACTGTAACCTCGTCATAGGTGCAGCAATCCTGGAGTATATGGTGATGAATCGCTGACACTAGCCCACCAACCCCATGAATGAACGAACGTCCGTGGTGTTGGTGGGCTCGGGCCATACTCGTAGGRCCTCGATCTTGTCCGCAAGCGGACGGATGCCTTGCGGCGTCACATAGTGTCCCAAGTAYTCCAGCTCCTGCTGTGCGAACTCGCACTTGTCGCGGTTTGCTTTGTACTTGGCTTGTCGTAGCCGCTCCAAAACGGTGCGCAGGTGTTCCACATGCTCGTCCAAACTCCGACTATACACCAAGATGTCGTCGAGATAGATGAGTACAAACCGATCCAACATGTGTCGGAACTCCGTTGTCATAGCCGCTTGGAAAGTGGTTGGGGCATTCGTAAGGCCGAACGGCATGACCAGCCATTTGAAATGCCCATACCGTGTCTTGAACGCGGTTTTGTAGCGATCCTCCTTGCGAATCTCGAGTTGGTGGGTACCCTGACTTGAGATCCAGCTTAGAGAAGAACTGGGCGCCGCCCAATCGCTCGAGAAGGTCGTCGATGCGTGGGAGAGGGCCGGCGTTCCTGATCGTCTGCGCGTTGAGCTTGCGATAATCGATGCACAACCGCAGGTCCTTGTTCTTCTTYCGGACGAAGAGAACAGGAGCATCGTATGGCGATGAGCTAGGCCGAATCCAACCTTTCTC